TCGAAAATACAGGGCGAGATAAAAAAAACTGCAGCAAAGACAAACGCCATAATTTTTAAATTTTTTTTAAAATTTTATTGAATGAAAGAAAAAATATCGGAAATAGCATCAAATTTTAGAATAAGTTTAGATTTGTTCGAATTGGTCACCTTTGGCACGAATTATGGCCTTCAAACGGTCAATAAAACCATCACACGCTGCCCGAATGTTGCTCTGCGGTATTTTGGCCCATTTCCGGTCAAGTGCTTGCTTGAGGTGATTGACACTTTGGTATTTTTAGTGCCAATCTTGCTTTCCAAAATATTCCAGATACAATAGTCCAACGGATTGGTGTCCGGAGATTTTGGTGGCCATTGTGCGCTGGAAATGAAGCTAGGCAGCTCATTTTGTAACCATTTTTGGGTGGCGCGTGCTGAATGCGGTGGTGCTGAGTCCTGTTGGAATGTCCAAAGTCTGCGACCAAAAACCCTCCAGAATATTTTCACGATAATATTCGGCATTTATTCTGAAGGCGGCCCACGGCATCACCATGGCTGACCTTTTTAGCAAGTGAACACGATAATTTTGTTTGTTTACAAACTGCTGGACAACGAATGTTTTCTCATCGAAGACGGAGAAAACCAAATTCGCCAGTTCACCACTTTCGGTCAAGCGAAGCAACTCTTTAGCTCTTTTGAGTCTATTTTCTTTCTGTTGCGGTGTTTTTTGGAATTTCAATTGTTTTAATTCGAGCTCATTTTCAATATTTGCCGAATGGAATCTTGCGATATGTTCAGCTCACGAGCCACTTTTCCGCCACTGCGACCCGGGTTTCGATCAAGTCGCTTTTTTACTTTTCGAACCATTGCTCCTGATGTTGCTGTTTTAATAGAAAGAAATGTGAAATACAAAATTTTATTAAGAAAATATTTTTCATTTCAAATTTTCATAGAACAAGAATCCACCCCCTGGTATCAAATACCATTGTTGTCGAATACATATTTCGAATGTGAAGTATTTAAATACCAAATTGGATGAAAAATATATATGGGAGCTATAGCTATATCTGAACCGATTTTCACCAAATTTAATGTACTTGCTTTTAGACTGAATTCGGTCGGATATCGGTTGAATATTTATGTTGGAGCTATATCCAAATCTGAACCGATCTTGATAAAATTTGGCAGATGTATGTCAAATCAGATGAAACATATATATATGGGAGCTATAGCTATGTCTGAACCAATTTTCACCAAATTTGGCAAATGTATGTCTAATCTGTATCTGATGCATATTTCACATGTGAGGGACTTAAAACCCCAAATCGGATTAAACATATATATGAGAGCGGTTGTAAGATTTAGAAGACTTTCCAAGAGAATTTTAGTTTTATTTAATTCTTTGGTTCCTCTTCTATTGAGCTTACGATCTCGTCACTTGGGTAAAAAAAAAATGTTTTTTGTCATAGAAGTTATTTTTAAAATAACTTCTGGGGAGAATATCCCAGACAAAAACAAGGGAACTGATGAGGATTGGTGGCTCTTTCCGAAACCTAGGTATTCCCTGCCTTACCCCCTGGTAAACATTACCACCGTTCTCCACTAATAAACAAACGTTGTTTTTATAAAAACAACAATAAAGGGATAAAGCCAGACCATTTTGCAACAACAAAATACTACGGTATCCCGAACAAACAAGCCACACTGTTCTATGAGAGCTATAGCTATATCTGAACCAATTTTACCAAATTTAATGTACTTGCTTTTAGACTGAATTAGGTCTGATATGCCAAAATTCAGGTCATTTGGGCTGATATTGGCTATTTGTTGCACAATTAACCTCGAAGATATATATGGGAGCTATTCAAATTTTAGCCGATCTCGGTAAAATTTGGCAAAGGTATTTGCGAGCTCTATAAGATATCTGTGGTATAAAATACTATTGTTGTCGAATGCATATTACGAATGTGAGGTACTTAAACAACAAATCGGATGAAAAATATAAATGGAAGCTATAGCTATATCTGAACCGATTTTCACCAAATTTAATATACTTTCTTTTCTTCAGGCCATTTGGACTGATATTGGCCATTTTGGTGACAATTAACCCAAAATCGGTTGAAGATATATATGGAAACTATATCTAAATTTGAATCGATTCTCACCAATTTCAATAGGGTTCGTCCCTGGGCCAAACAAATATTGTTTGGAAAATTTCAGCTCAATCGGATAATAAATGCGACCTGCAGAAAAATAAATGGACAGACGGACGGACGGACATACGGAGTGACATGCATAAATCGACTCAGAAAGTGATTTTGTGAAGATCCTCAAAAGTAACTGTGGGTGTATCTCGCCTCCTTCGCATGTTACAAACAAATGCACACAGACATAATACCCTTACCACTATGTGGTGTTGGTTATAAAAAGTGGAAAAAGTTATTAATAGAAGATAAACAACTGAAAATGAACAAGTAAAAAGTCGGTCGGGCCGAATAGCCTCCACCATTTGGAACGAATTTGGAAATATTAAAAAAAATAAATAAATAAATAAGTAAATAGAATACGTTAAAAATTCTACTAAAGTCTTAAAAAACGAATATAGGGAGGTATCGTTATATCGGTGCTATACGAAGACCTTGACCTGCGTAGAAATTTTTCTGTCACAGGCTGAGGCACCCATTAGGAATTTTAAATACAAAATTTGAAATAACTCCGGTGAATATCGTACCTAAAATCGTCAAAATATCGAATATAGGGAGGTACTGATATATGGGGTTATACGAAGTCCTGGACATTCATAGACAATTTTCTGTCATATATTGTAGTACCTCTTGCTAATTCTAAATACGAAATTTAAAACAACTCCGGAGAATAAAGTCCCTAAAATTGTCAAAATATCGAATTTCGGGGGGTACCATTGTATATGGGCCATACGACATCGTGGGCCTATATAGACACTTCTCTTCCAGGGGGTAAAGTGCTTAGAAAGAACTTCAAGTATGGATTTTTGGACAATTCTACTGAAAAATGTAGCTAAAATCATCAAAATACCGAATATAGGGAGGTATTGTAACATGGGAGATATACGATATCGTGGACCTATATAGACAATACTCTTCCAGGGGGTAAAATACTCAGAAGGAATTCTTTTGTAGATTTTCAGACAATTTCATTGAAAAATTTGGCTACAATCACCAAAATACCGAATATTGGGCGATGTTGTGGACCGATATAGCTCATATTCGATCTTTACCTGCCTGCAGACAATAGACTGATTTGTGAACAATTTAAGCTTCCTATCTTTATTAGTTTTCAATTCTTTTTGGCCGTTTTCATGGCCAGTAATAGCTTTAAATTCCAGGACATGAGACGCGTCCGTTGCCAAAGGCAGGCGATTTGTCTCTCTTTGAATTTCAAATCACAAATCTCCATTTCATAGCGTACACGTCAAATAATAGGTGTGTCTGGTTACCCTAAAGTTTGTAACAATTGTTACAAATTGTTACTGGAAGTCGTCTGTTAACCCAAAAGTTCTGCAAAAGAGAGCGGTTGGAGAGAGAAATTTTGACAGTTCTTTCAGTGAGAGTTTGCAAATTCTTGCTGGAAAAATTTCTTCTTGCAATCACTTGCAACTCTTCTTCTTCTCATTCATCGACATTCAATCAGATGTTTTCTATTGTTTGTTTATTTCTTTTTGTGCTTTCAATTTGAAAATATTTTTTTGGTATTAGCAAGACTAATAGTTTTTGGGGAATAACTTTACAAAATGTGAAAAACGTAAATGTTAATATGCAATGAGAAAATAAACGACTATTTCCAACATTTTTATTTAAAAAACTTGTAAAATTAGTATTGCTTCCTTTGTTTTAATTCTCCTTATGGGGGACAAATTGGTTTGTTTTGACAAATCAGCTGATTAGTTGCAAGCTTCTGCAGGAATACCGTCTGTTTACTTTTCGCATTTTCCTTGCAAAAGAGAATAAAACTACCTTACTCTCTCAGAAAGAAGTTACTGGACAATTCCTGCTGGAAAAGTAACCAGACACACCTAATATTCACTGAATTTATAAATACGATTTACGTGACGTATACGCTTTGGAATTGACATTTGAAATCGAGTGGATTAAGTAGTCAAATTGTGATTTGCCACTCTTTGAATTTTAAATCACAATTATGAGCAAGTTTAGGCTACTAAATCCACTCGATTTCAAATGTCTTTTAATTTTTATAGACTTGATTCTAATTCTATTTTTCTATTGTTTAAGGATTATTATAGGCCCCTTCCAGTTATTTTTGGTATCGATGATCTCCAAAAGGTCTTTTATAGATAAACTTTTTTTTGAGAATTCTGCATTCATAAACATTTTGCTACTGGGTTATTTACCATTTTTTGTTTTATTCCAATTTGCTTCTTACTTAATATTCGGTGGTACTCAAATAAAATATAAATTATTCGGCCGTACCATTATCATCCGAAAATTATGCTTCACTTTTTATCGAATAACTTACAGCACCAACAACCCCTAATGACATGCCACTCTGTCAAACTGAAAATCATCTGCGGCAGACGTTAAAAACAAAACAAGGAAAATATCAACCCCACACACAAGAGAATAGGGGGTTAAACACAGAGACATTTATTCATTCAGATTGCATGTGTGAGCATAACGGTATTGCTGGGAGGGAACATTTGAGAGGCAAACAGTATGTAATGCGCACACCCTTTTCTTCTGAGTAGGAAAACATTTGCACACACAGCGAAAACTATTTTTACCGAAAGAGAAGACTGAGAACGACAAAACGAAATTATGCCGGTTGAAGAGCCATGGCAATGTGAGAATGTATATGGGAGCAGCATGTTCAAAAAGGGGGAGAGAACACACTGATTGCCTCCTTATCAACAACCGCCAGCAATATGCCGACCCAGCGCACATGAATATTTGGCGTATGAGTTCTGAATATTGAATAGAAATAAAACGACTCAAAAACAACAACGGGAAAAAATTAAATAAAAGAAATGCCGAGTTGCGGTTCTCTGCATTTCAATTGGAAGCCAGACATACACATAGAACAACGTGTGGAACATCACTCGACACTAGGAGCTCACTCATTTACTTGCTATTGCTACAATGAAATCAATGAAATAAAATAATTTTTTTTCAAGTGACATTAGTTTAATAAAAGCGCCCCAAACTAAGCAAACCAAAAAATTTATTTTTCACAATAACGCACGGAATAGTGAGAAAATTTAACAAAATTCAATCGAAAAGGGCTGCCAACAAACTTATTATGGATTTCGATACGAAGTGTATGCGTCTGGTGGGTACGGCTGCCGTTTCCATTGTTGGATATCAACTTCTTACAAAATTCCTGCCATGGCTGTATATGAACATAATTGGTCCAAAATTTTTTGGACCTAAGGTCGATGTTCGTCGCATGGGTTCATGGGCTGGTAAGGTGTTTTTTGTTCATTTTCGTTTTACAAGAAATGTGAATTGGAGAAAGATAAGAACATAAGTCATCACCGGTGTGTTGTTGTTGTTGTGGTTTTTCTTTATCGAAAATGCATTGTTGTTATCAATGTGAAACATACATACCTGAGGAAAAATAGTAAAATGTGATATGATTTTTGGTGATTATGCTTGTTGGACTCCAAACAATTGCTCTGTTCCAGAACCAGCAAGAATCTATTATTTTTTCGGAAAATCGGTTATCGTAGTAAAAAGTTGTATATTCTAGCAGTTCTGGAACAGATCAAATATTTTGTGTGAAAATGTTAGAAAAATTCTAATTTATTTTGTTTTTCCCATATTTTTTTCTACAACACCTTCTAGTTGTTACTGGTGCCACCGATGGTATTGGAAAAGCCTATGCAAAAGCGGTAAGTTGTTGAAACAAAATTAGACTCCAGCATGGGGAAAATTATGCTGGTGATTCATTCGCTCATTAATTAATTGTTAATTAGGAAATTAGAATGAATTGTTCAAATTTCATGTCTTTCACATCTCATTTTCAAAATTTGTAGAAAAATTGCTCGGAATAAAGAGGGTAGATCCGTATATTTTTCTGGAGGGTAGATCCGAGGGTAGATCCATATCCGTATAAATTTTGGTTTCTAACAAACCAAAAAAAAAGTAAAATAGTATCAGTCGGTTTTGCTGACAGATGGGGGTACACATCTGTCAGGTTGGCCCTTTATTGGAGAGGTTCCGAAGCAGTTGGCCAATATTGACCAAGGCTGATAAAAATATTACAACGTGCCATATTTGGACATATACCAAAGACCTAAAATGGTAAAGACTAGACAAAATGCATTTTGAGCAAATGGTTTGTGTCTATACTATCCAGATAACACCTCATGACAGGACCATGTTAATATAAAAACCCATTTATAGAAATATAAAACAAACAAAAAATTAGAAAAATCCAAAAATTGGGTTTCAAAATTTTACTCCATAGACTTTCCCAGTTAATTGCATATTGCCTAAGCGGTTTTAATCGCTTAACATTGCTAACTATAGTTGTGTTCCAGAACCTGCAAATTAGTACTAATTAGCACTAATTCTGCTACAACGCGTTCCCGTACTCCAAAAACTAACAAAACTTGCAGCTCTCTCGAGAAAAAATGGCGCTGAGTGGTGCACATTTCTGCTCGTTTTAGCTACATGAATTTGGCCGAGCAGAAATGTTCATATTGTAAATTTGACATTTAATTGGCAGAGCTAACAAGGTTGAAAAATGTATTGATACATTTCAATAAAGAAAATGATCAACTTGAAAACTAAAGGAAAAACTAATATTTGTCGTGCAAAAAACAAAAAAGAAAATATGGAGCAACTAATGTATTCACTTTTGGATGAATCCAGCAGTGAAGAGGACTGGCTGAATGAGGAATCAGATTATTAATTATTATTATAAATTATTAATTTTAACTTATTGTCTTCAATACTCATTTTTTAAATGTTGGCGTTCTTTTCAGTAAGGTTTCACCAGTCCGATTTAGGCTGTTTACTTTTGGAATTTTGAATTTTGACATTTTATCGCATTTCTGCTAATTTTCCGTTCACTTATTTTTTGAGCAAACCTAAATGAGAATGACATTTCGAACTGTTCTCTCTTCTGCTAGTTTTACTACTAAAAAAGTACTGGAACACAACTTATGTTGTTACGATATCATAACAGAGGTATTTTCACGGGGTTGCCATATCTTGACTCTGTCTTGTCCCATCTTTACACTTCTATGTCTTTGCATTTACTTTTTATGCGACATGTGCAAATTTTTGGAAAATGTGGAAATGCGCGTGAGGCTCCAGATAAAGTCGACCGAAGTATTCCATTTTCATACTTCATCTAATACAGAAAAAATATTGGGCACAATTACAAAAAAATCGAAAATTTATATTCAATTTTATGCGTAATCTTAAATTCCATATTCATCTCAGGTTTCTGGTTGAGAGAAATATTAAGATATAGCATGTTGTAAAGAACCGCCGACTTATTTCGCAAGTTATGACAGATATGAGTATTGGAAATGTTGACCCTTTGTGGGTGAGGTACCAGAAGGGGTTCTCAGTTATATTTACAACAGATTTTGTGTTAGACAAAATGTGTGTGAAATCTGAAGAGAATTGGATGCTTATTTCACTTTCTTTGGGCGTTTTATATTTTAAAATTTTGAACCCAATGTGGGGGAGGTTGCAGAAGAAATGGTCCGATCTCTACCACATTTATAACAAAGCTTGCGTTGATAGAAATATTGAGATGTACCAAGTCTGAATGAAATCGGATGTTAATTTCGCGTTTTATGAGCTTCATGGATACTCAAAATTGTGACGCTTTGTAAGGGGAGGTACCAGGAGGAGTGCACTGATACATCCCATCTTCACAGCAGATCTTGTGTTAGTAGAAATAATGGGATGCTTGAAATTTGAAGAGAACCGGAGCTTATTTCAGATTTTATGATCATTTTGGTTATTCAAAACTTTGACCCTTTTGGAGGAGGTACCAGAAGTAGTGGTCCGATCTCTACCATCTTTATAACAGATCTTCTGCTGATGGAAATATTAAGATGTACCAAGTCTGAATGGAATCGGATGTTAATATTGCGTTTTATGAGCTTCATGAATATTCAAAACTTCGACCCTTTGTGGGGGAGGTACCAGAAAGAGTGGACCGATGTATTCCATCTTCACACCATATCTTCGGTTAATAAAAATATTGGGATGTGTGAAATTTGAAAACAATCGAGCACTTACATCACATTTTATAAGAGTTATAATTATTCAAGATGTTGACCCTTTGTGGAGGAGGTACTTGATAGAGTGGACCAATATTTGCCCATATCTGACCTAGCACTGATGCAAATATTAAGATTCGCAAAGTTGGAGCAAAATCGGATTATCCTTTCTCAGTCTGTGCAGTAAACTATTTTCTTTAAAAATGTTGACATTTTGTGGTGGGAGGTACCAGAAGAAGTGGACCGATATTGCCTATGTACGAACTAAATCTAAGCTTGATAATACTATTACGATGTACCACCCTTCGAGAGTTATCGTGCGCACCAGCCAAGCAGACAGGCGGACATCGCTCGATCGTCTCCAAATGTCCTGAAACCGATTTGTTCCAAAGAGACCTATGGTCTAAAATCATTATTTCGATGAGATAAGTTTTGGCAGTATCAATGATATACACCCTTTGTAGCCATATGGCTAGAGGTATAATGACAGCACATATGTAAAACCAATTTCTCCTGATAATGCCTTAAAATTCCAAAAAAAAATTACTAGACATTTTTTTCCAACAAATGTTCAGTTTCAGAACCTTAAAGAATCTACTAGTTATGCATTTTTCTCCGATATCATAAAGGGAAAATCGGTTATCGTAGTAAAAACTTTTACATTCTTACAGTTCTGGAACATGCCAAAAATGTTGTATGTTTACAAATAACTGACAAATATCTATCTATGTATCTACCAAAAAAACATTCTGACAAGTTCTTTTTTGAAAACCCTTTCAAAGAAAATCCTTCTCAATAAATGTAATATTTTTGTTACACGACAGATTAGATTAACAGAAAACAATGCTCTATGTAAATAAATCTATAATGTGGAAAGTGCATATATACATTCTCATATTTATTTTATTAAATGATTGAATAGTAAACACTTGCAATGAATTGTAAAAAAATGTATTTTTTACGCTTTTCCAATATCTCTAAAAAAATATTTATTTGGAAACAAAAACCCGCTAATGATTTATTTAACCCTGGAATAAGTTTTTAATAAATCTCATATTTGTACTATGATGAGATGGAGGGTACTTGACAATGACTCTTCGAAAGATTTTCATGAATTAGCACATTTTCAATACATCTGCCACCACCATTTGCAGTGCAATGCAAATGCATTTAACAACACTCGCTTTATTTGTCTAACCAATTGATGCAAGTGTTTATTTGAAAATTAATTTTAAATGCATACATTTCTATTGCTGGTGTATTCAAATGATCTGCAAACAGAAAGTTTTTTTTTTTTTTAATTTTGCAAATATGTATTTGTCTGGTCATCTGGATTAGACGGGCAAGTTAAATGCAAAGAAAACTCAGTTTTTTTTTTTTGGGATGAATGGTTCATTCCACTCATGGCTTATACATAGATCCAGTTTCCTTTCAAAGAAAAAAATCGTAATTTTCGATTTAAAGCACGTTTACATATGCGAAAACAATTTGATGTCAGCTGTCAACTTCCTTGTGTATACGTCATGGTAGAAGAATATACGTAGACGCGTCGACACAGCTGCTGGGACAATGAACTGTCAAACCAATTTTGGAATTGAAAATGTTGAATGAAAAGTTATTTAAATTTGTAAAAATTGTTGAAAAACGCGAATTATATAGCCCCCGAATGATGTAGTATAAGAAAACATATAAAATTCTACTTATATTTGAAAAAACATTTAAATTTTTTTGACATATCCGAATTGCGTCGTATAAGAAAACATAAAAATCTACTTATTTTCGACAAAATATTTTAGGAATTTTGACACATCAATGTTCCAAATCGTTCATGTATCTACCTGTATTATTCTACCATACCATATACCATGGTAGAAGAATATAGGTAGATGCATCGACACAGCTGCTGAGACAATGAACTGTCAAACCAATTTTGGAATTGAAAATGATGAATGAAAAATTATTTAAATTTGCAAAAATTGTTGAAAAACGGGAATTATATTTACCTCCCAATGACGTCGTATAAGAAAACATATAAAAATCTACTTATATTTAAAAGAACATTTAAATATTTTTGACATATCAATGTTCCTAAGTGTTGATGCATCTACCTGTATTCTTCTGCCATGCCATATACGTAAAATTTGAAATCAAGTGTATTTAATTTTACGTCTACGACTGGAATTGAGCGTTGGATCGCCTGGATTTCGTGTTTTTCGAGGTTCATGCTTCTTTTTTTGTCACTTTTGATGACAATTTTGATTAAATTATATTTTTTGATAAAAATAGGGCTCGCTGTGATCGAAAAAGAACATATACACCCTTCTCACACAGGAGGTGTGGAACTTCAAAATATGGAAAATTTGACACTACATATGTAAAACCCATATCGTCTGATATCATCTTTAGAATTTTCCCATGGTAGAAGAATACAGGCAGCCGCATTGACACAGCTGCTGGGACAATCAACTGTCTAACCGATTTTGAAATTGAAAATCTTGAGTGAAAAATGATTGAAATTTGTAAAAATTGTTGGAAAACGCATATATAAAAAAACATAAACACATACTTATATGTATTTGAAACAAACATTTTAAATTTTTTGACATATCAATGTTTCCAAGCGAATTCTTCTACCATGGAATTGC